TCATTACAAAATGAACAAATCTGAGAGAGGTCGACATGTAGTACCTATATATGTAAATATCAAAGCAATTGGACTTGCGGTTCTCAACAAGAAGTCGAAAATATCACTTTTTACCAAAAATGACAAAAATATTCACCAAAATTAGAGAATTAAAGATATCATTACAAAATGAACAAATCTGAGAGAGGTCCACATGTAGTACCTATATATGTAATATCAAAGCAATTGCACTTGCGGTTTTCAACAAGAAGTCGAAAATATCACTTTTTACTAAAAATGACAAAAATATTCACCAAAATTAGAGAATTGAAGATATCATCATGAAATGAACAAATCTGAGAGAGGTCTACCCAAGGTACATATACACCAAGTATCAAAGCATTCAGGCTTGTAGTTTTCAAGAAGAAGTCGAAAAAGTAAAACATTGACACGGACGACGGACGACGGACGACGACGGACGACGACGACGGACAATCACTCATATGATAAGCTCCGCTCGACAAAGTCGACAGCGGAGCTAATAATCTATGTACCAAGTTTGAATGACAACTGACAAAGCATGTCCAAAATACAACATTTTAAAAAAACAAGATGGCTGCCAGTCACCCATTTTGAATCGAATCGCTAAACCACTGCATGTGCATATGCAAGACATAAGGTACTAGGCACATGCGAAGAATGAACGGAATTGGTCCACAGGATTCTGAAATATGAGTCTGGACAGACTGACACAAACTGACGGACACACGGACGGACGGACAGACTCAGGAACTCACGGACGATCGGGGACATGTAATCTAACATGTATGATCTATGTACTAAATTTGAATGAAAACTGACAAAGCATGTCCAGAATACGACATTTTCAAAAAACAAGATGGCTGCCAGTCGGCCATCTTTGATCCAATTGTGAAATAAATCATCATGGACATGTATCCTAACATGTATAATCTATGTACCAAGTTTGAATGAAAACTGACAAAGCATGTCCAAAATACAACATTTTCAAAAAACGAGATGGCTGCCAGTCAGCCATTTTGAATAGAATCGCTAAACCACTGCATGTGCATATGTCCCACATAAAGTACTAGGCACATGCAAAGAATGAACGGAATCAGTCCGAGGGATTGTGAGATATGACTCCGGGCGGACGCACAGAAGCACGGATAGACGGAGACCGAATTATAAGACCCCGTTTTTGGACTTCGTCGCCAGAATACGTTATATGCGATATCCCTTGTATCATTAGACAAACACTGATTCACGTTTAATAACATCTATCCGCTGCAAACTGTGTAGTTTATCACTCATACTTGCAAATGGTAGCGATTGTTATATGTAACATACTGGTAGGTTATTGAGTATGTGCAAAGTGTTAATTTTAGTTACAAGTGTGCTACCAAAAATTTAAAATCTGTATAATCTGCTTTATCTTACAGAGATTTGTCGACAGTTTGATTTTTTTTTTTTTTACTTCACCATTGATTCAAAGAATAGAACATCTAATTGAAACATTAAGAAAAGAAAATTGCAATTTCTTGGACAACAATCAAAGAAAAACAGTCTAACAAAATGTATTATGCAAGGGAAGGTTGAAGGATGCAGAAACAGAGGACGGCCAAGAAGAGAATGGGAAGACGACATCAAAGAATGGATAGAGAATGGAGAGCAGCTTTACTATCTTACTGATGACAGAAAGGGCTGGAGGAGGTGCACGTCTGGTCATGGGTGCATCAACTGAAGCTATGGACTAAAGAATAAGAAGAAAATTGATTCAACCTAAACATAGAAACACGTTTGTCATGTGCCAGTAAAAGAGCAAATACTTTCAAATTCTTGAAATGTTTCTTTCGTACCTGCAGCCAACACTTCGTATTTTCCAGCCCGTTAAATCTTGAACTGGTTTGGGATACATTGTTGCTTCACCCGTTGTTTTGGTTTGGCCCCAAAAATACAAAATACCTATAAAAAAAAAAATATATGATAGTAAACTCGGATAAAAGTGGAAGCGCACAATTTCCTGGAATATGTCTGATTTCAACAGATCTTGTGACAATCAACAATTATGAGTATGCAGACTAAATACTATAAATCATTTTAAATTTTATGCTATTAATTTTCAAGATTTAAAGAGCGGTAGTCACCGCGCTGCGCATGTGCAAAATATGGGTCTCGTATAAACAAAGATGGCGACTTTGACTCTTGCGCAGATCAACGAGTTCAAACTGAAAGGTTACCAAGCTTTAATTAGGTAATTTTTTTTGGTGTTTGGAAGGTATCGGAGGAGCCGCCTGCAGTAATTAGTGCAAGTGGCGCCCAGTGCAAAACTCATACTCGTTATTTCATACGCACGACGACTATCGCCCTTTAATGATTTTAGGGCTTTAACATGATGTCTCCAAAACTGAAGTACAGTACACATTAAATGTATTAAATTTTTTTCTCAGAAGTCATTTATATGACAATGGATTTCACAAATAATGCACTGTTATGTAAATTACCCAAGCTTCTATTGTTTTGAGTGAAAATTTTACCTTGTTCACTGACTGCCATAGAGAACGATGCCCCACAATAAATACTACTGGCTCCTCTGCCAGTCACGTCAAATGTTTTTAGATTACGCGGTACTTTTTCATCTTTTGGTTCAGCATGGCCAAGACGGCCATAGCCGCCAAATCCCCATGTGAAAACTCGTTTTCTGATATCTAAAGCAATCTGGGAAATAGATGAAAGAGATACAAGATGATGACAGCACAAATACTAAAACATAGCACAAATATTGTAGCCTTGCCAAATTCAAGGCAAATACAAGAAGAGTGTCAATACAAATTTAAAGGAACCACAAGACTATGTTAATTATTGAGTAATTATGATCAATTATTGAAAATTAAATGTGTCCCATTAAATGTTCATGTTCAACTTTGTAAATATATCCTTTCTACAAATGTTAATGATAATACAAAACAAGATGAAATGTTCCCTTACCACATGGTTGGTACCACAAGCCACGTCAGTCAGAAGCACATTTGGCACGGGCATCACATGGCCTTTATTTTTTTCTACAAACATCTGGATTTTTCGCGGAACCAGTTGGCAGTCGAATGAGAGTTTATTTGAGGTGACGAAGTACTGGCCATCATTATTATGACCTGCAAAGAGAGTTGGTTAGAAATGCAAAAAAATAAGACAATATTGTTAAATATGGCACTGCTTCCATGCAATTTGGCCAATAAACATTCCAGTCTTTACCACATTTTGAGCCAAAACTTAATTATATGAAAGGCCAGACTTTTTTTTATTCCTTGTTTCTCGAGTTTTTATGAGGCAATTTTTTTCAGGAGGGCAGAGGAAAAAAAATAAAATTAATTCTTTTTTTCTCATTAGATTTGTGTGATTCTCAAAGAATTGTAAGTGAGATCATTGATCGAAGAGAAGAAATGAAATAAAATTTCATTCAATGTATAACCTTGTTTCTCATCTGCGCGAGACTTCGGTACTTTGATCATGATACTCCCACGAAAATGCAACTTGAAGATAAAAATAAGTTTTTTTTAGCAATTTTTTTGCACTTACTAGTTGGCGGGCGCGAGAAATGACGCTGAAATAAAATTTTATTTTTATTTCATTTTCGGCTCCTGTTCATTCAGCGGGTTCGCGAAACAAGGGATAATAAAAGTTTAGCCTAAAGATTCAATAGTTTAATGATAGATGCATCAACATTTTCTTGCCAGACTTACAATCAGAGTGAACAGGTCAACGACTATGCAATGAATAACGTAAGGTGTTTTAATTTCACAAGAGGCAAATTTGTGATAAATCGCAAAACTGTAGCGGCAAAAAACCCTTTAGGACTCGCTGACACAGTGTTAGTGACTTTCGCGTTATTAGTCCTGATTTCTTTATAATTTCTTCATTAGTTCTGATCTAGATGCACATAATTTTCATTTTTGTTCAACTTCGTCATTTAGCGTTAGGAAAATAAAGAGATGTCTTACCCAGCTGACTGTATTCTGGATGTCCAAATGAATGCAGGCTTCCTTTGCAGTCTAGAATCATACTGAAATCAGCGCCACACGCAACTTTAACAATTGGTTGACCTTTATGACCCACCTAAATAGAAGAAAATCGAAATGATAAACCACATGTAAGAGGATTAAAACAGATTTAGAGAATAGACAGTTCACTGAGGCGAATTATAGTACTGTAAAAGGGTTAATTATTCACTGGGTTTTAGTTTTGCTCATTTCGCTGACTGGAAAATGCGCTAAATTAAAACCCAGTGAAAATATAAAATTGAGCATAGAACACATCATCT